TCCCACAGGAGAAGGCATGGCTTTCAATTTGCATCAGAGAATGGAGTACCCATTACTGATGAAATCATTCATTCAGCGAAACAAAGCATAGTTGTGCTTAGGAGACAAATAGTTCACACTAGCAATCCTCAGAAAATCATCTGCATCTATGCCTAGGTATGGTATATATGATTTCTGTATTTAATGCTGGCTTGATGTTTTCACAGTTGAATGTATCTGCCTTATCAATTACTCTTCTTCAAGCACGGTAAGATCCAGTCAAAATGACTTTCTGGCTCTTTATCACAAATGACAGTCATCTCTCATCTCAGAGCCTTTTCACTAGCTGTGCTCTATGCCAGGAATGTACTCCCTCTTCATCTTTTAGAATCCTTTCTAGCACCCAGTTGATGCCTAATAAATACTTATTGATTGATTGTATAATATGTTATATATTTCTCTGTATTTGTGTACCTTTTATATTGCACATTCCCCTAAAACTGAGAGAACTTTAATTCTAAAGGCAACTAACGCTAAGGCAATTGATAATTTGATTCCTTATCTCTGGTTTCCATATCTCTCTTTCTCCAACACATTTAGTACTACCCAAGGCCTACCGTGGCATCACTTTCTGCCTCTTATCCCATACTCCAGAATCTTACTTTTCAAAATCAAGTCAGTTTGGTGGACTATGTGTTAAATATTAATGTTTCCATTTCATAAGGGAAGAATCTGGGGCATAGGGAAGTAAACATTAATGTTTGGGATCACATAGAAAATCAATAGTGATCCCAGAACTAGAATCACAGAGCTGGAAAGGACCTCACTCAGAGGCCAAATAGTCCAAATTCCTCACTTTACAAATTAGGAAACTGAGGCCCAGAGAAGTTCAGCATCTTGCCTACGACCAGTCACACAGGCAGTGTCATAGCCAGAATATGAACCCAGGTCTTCTGACTTCAAAGCCAGAACTCTCTTGCTACATACCCCTCCCCCCACCATATATTCTGTTTCATTCTGTTTCTAAATCTACTTTAGCCATTAGATATGGATGAGAATAGCAATTTTATGGAAAAAACCCAATAAACTAAAATTTCAAGACACCTCCTTCTCCGTAGCCCCCCCAAGAGCCTAACAATTCATCATTAGACATTCCTCCTATTGTGTGCATTTTCACTGGATATTCCTTCATACTGGAAATTCTCTCCTTCCTCATTGCCTCCTCCCGGGCCCCCTGGCTTCTCTGGCTTCCTTCAGGTCCTAGCAAAGTCCCACCTTCTACCACCTTTCCCAGTCCTTAGTGCTGGTGCCTTCCCTCTCTTGGTTATTTCCAGCTTATCCTGGGTGGATCTCATTAGATCTCATTTGTTCAGAGGTGTTACATGTTGTTTCCTCCATAGGACTGTGAGCTCCCTGACAGCAGAGCTGGTTTTTGCCTTTTGTTGTATCCCCCACACTTAGCACAGTGCCTGACACTTACTAATGGAACTTACAGTCCTCCACATCCATCTTAAATTATGGCCAGCAGGTGCCAAATCCTGAAGATATTTTTTAAAAAGTAGATGAAATACAGCAGTTTGAGGATTCTGGATAAGAGTGGACATTTACCTCTTAGTTCTTCCTTCACATATAAAGATAGACTCATCTAGAACATAAGTTGAGTGGCTGACCAACTATCAACTATTAACAACCCTTTTCTTCATCTACTATTTCAACAATAATTTTGGGGAAATTTTGCATATAGAGTAACATATTTTCCCCACTCTCCCTATCTATAATTTTTGATAAAATCTGTTTTTCAGCCTTCCATGGCATCTTGATGATGATGATGGAATACCTCTTTATGTGAAATAAGAATGGGCGCTGGACTTGTGATTTTGTTGACCTGTGGAACTCCTCAAGGAGGAAACTCCTTTTACCAATGTAGGTCAGCACCTTCTATGAAACTCATAGTCTTAGAGAGTTGCCTAGAGCACTGAAAGGGTCAGGTGACTTGTCCAGGGTCACATAGCCAATATAATTCAGAAGCAGGATTTGAACCTAGGGCTTCTATGGCACCAAGGCTGATTTTATATCCACTGTTATGCTGCCAATGAATGAAACTAAATGAGATATGAAAATGGGATGTTAATTCTCTCTCTCTTTTTTTTTCCCCCCTAGGCAATTGGGGTTAAGTGACTTGCCCAGGGTCACACAGCTAGTAAATGTCAAGTGTTTGGTCTGAGGCTGGATTTGGGATGTTAATTCTTATAACTAATTGATGTCATAATAGGGCTTTGGTTGTCTATAAAATGAAGGGGTTGGATTAGATGATCTTAAAGATCCCTCCTCATTCTAAATCTATGATTCAAGTAGGTGCATGAATAATGTGAAGTAGTTCACTTCTATGGACTCACAAAATCAAATTTTGCCTTGACTTGAATGTAATCCACTGATCCTTCTGCATCACAAAGGTGTTATAAACTATGTTTCTACAAAGAGTAAGTAAATATTTTTTACCTGTCTCTTGTAAAATTTGCAAAAATTTTGTATGCTGAGCATAATTAATTGAAGGGATGCACACAGGGGTATGTTGGATCTATGTAGAGTCAATTATAAAATGTTCAAGTATGAGCATTTATACCTCGAATATCATTGCTAAGAGTCAGGCCTTGATTTATTGTTTTTATGGTTATCTAGACCTAAGAAAGTGATGGAATAAATGTTTAAAATGAAGATTAAGTTTAAAAGTGGGTCTTACATATATTTTTTCTCCTGGAGAGCTGGTGGTTTAAATATTTACCAGCATACTGCTGTGACACAGCTCACTACTATTTCTAGGTTCTGTTCCGTTCTTTTCTTTATTTGAGGCAAGGTGCAAATGATCATTAACTTCCAGAAATGGTTGAGTGTGTATGAGCATCAGTGATTAAAATACCTGATTGGCAAGCTCCTTCAGGAATGAGTCATGGGTTAGAAAGACAACTAGTGTTGAACAGATACCTGATTATGACCTATAGGCCAGAATAATTTCCTTCTTAATCCTGAGGAACACAATAAGTACTACCACTTCAAGTTAGGTCAAATTATTTTTATTTTTAATTAATATTGTTGACAGATTTCTACTTAGTGAGTACTCTTTGAAATGGAAAGAGAGGAGAATGGAAAAGGATGAGATCTTCTATGTTGTGAGTTTAAATTGCACATCCCCAAGCAGAAGGGTCCCCAAACACCTCATAGCCTTGGCACTGCAGGTGGGACATTGTCATGGTCTGCTCTGCAATTCAGGGGCCATTCGGTGTGTCCTTTAACCTGTGAATCTTATACCACAGCCTTACGTTGGTTCTATATACCTTGTAGAATGTTTGAATAGGAAAGAAACATAGCAGAGATCTAAACTAAGGTCTTCATTTTACAGATGATATAACTGAAGCTAAGAAAGGTAAGCTACTTTGCTCAGGGTCACAGAGCAAATTACTGGCCAAGCTAAGATCCTAAGTCTCCCAACTTCCATTCTTGTACTTTATCCAACACACCACAGTGCAATGCCTACAACACGGGGTTTAAAAAAAAAATTTTTTTTTTATATAGGGCTTTATAATTACAAAGCACAAGGCAAACATTTCACTTGAGGTTTACAACAACCCTGAGAGGAAAGTTGTGCCATGTAAAAGGCTAAATGTTAGCTATTAATAAAAGCAACATAGTATAGAGCATTGGACTTTGTTAATTAACTTGGGGTTAAGCTCAAGCCCTGACTCTTCCTACATATATGACCTCTATGAGCCCCAGCTTCTTCATCTGTAAAATGGGGATCATAATTCTTCTACTATTATTATCCCCACTTTACAGATGATGAAAACTAAGGGATGATAACACTTACATTATGGGTTTTTGTTGTTCAGTCACGTCCGACTCCTTATGACCCCATTTGGGGTTTCCTTGGCAAAAACACTAGAGTGCTGTGCCATTTCCTTCTCCAGCTCATTTTATAGAGGAGGAAACTGAGGCAAACAGGGTTAAGTGACTTGCCCAGGGTCACACAGCTAGTAAGGATCTGAAGCCAGATTTCAATTCAGGTCTTTCTGACTCTAGGTTTGGCTGTATCCACTGTGCCACCCAACTACCTGCTTTATGGGTAGCATGGTGTCGTAGATAAGGGCCTGAGCTTGGAATCGATAAGACATGAGCCCATATTCAGTCTTTGAAATTTACTAGATCCGAAAACCTAAACAAGTGATTTAATCTCTAAGTACTTCAGGCAACTTTCTAGTACTTACATACCAAGTCAGAGGGGAGTTGAAATCTGCCTTGAGGCAGGCAGTTCCAAACAGGGAGCTCTCTAGGCTGAGTAAATCACAGATCTTTCCAGTATTCACATAATACTTGCATTACCTACTTCACAGGGTCCTTGTAAGTGAAACACATTTCAAATCCTAAAGTGCTATTTAGATATAAGTTGTTAAGTACAGATATTATTGCTGTTTTTCATAACATCAGGTCCCTGAAATTCAGAGAATAAGTAATTTGTCCAAGGTCATTTAACTAACACCCAATGGAACTAGGCCTCAGTTCTGTTTTCTGACTCCCAGGCAGAGCAGTGTGATGTTAACCAGTCATTCCACTGTTTGGAATATTTTTTCCCTCCAGAAACAGCTGAAGTTCCTTCTCTGATCTGATGATTATAGCAAAGTGGATACAATTTGTCTATTAAAATGACCAAAATGACCTCATTGTCTACATTGCGGTTCAATTATTATAGATGCCTTATCAAGTGAATGAGTTTGACAGTGTGGTAAGTAGATCAATTGTGTGGTGATTGGCCATTTCTGCTCCTTGCATTTGCCTGCAAATGATGGAATTAGTTATTTCTCAAAGACACTGCCTTTACCTGTATAAACCTCATGAGAACAATTATAAAGAGTGTTACTATATCATTAAAAGTCTTGAAGAATGAATTTTTATAAAAGAGACTACGTTGGATAAGTTATGTCACGGCCAACAAAACTAAGAACTAATATTTCAAGAATCAGGGAAACAAATTAATGGTTAAAAAGAAAGGTACATGAGCCTTTATTTGTCAATGAGAAGGAGGTTTCAACATCAAAACGGTATTGACACAACTTACAAATCTCTATTAAGGCCACACATCGAAAACACCAGTTGGTTCAACACCTTATCTCAGTGAGCCACGCTATGCTATGCTATGTTCTAATGGCACTCTCTAAGACCTTCTCTGCTAATGACTCTCTCCAGCTACTCTAATGCTCTAGAAAGCATCTCTTTGACCCTGGCTTTTCTTCCCAACAAGCTCATCTTGTTCTTTCCTTAAAACTATATCTTGCTATTTATTTCCTATGTCATCTGCTTAGGAAATTGTATTATGTGAAGAAAAACTGTGAGGATGACCCTTGTCAGTAGGTTTCTCAGACACAGGGGAGAGTTTACAATTATGCCTGCAGGGGCAGCGCTAACATAAGAACTCAGTGGACAGTACAAAGACTGCTGCTTATCTTCGACTCAAACCACTTGCATTCCACCTATCATGGGCCATCTCATCTTCAGTCATATACCTTTCTTCCTTAGTCTAAAGTTTACTTTGTCTTCTTAGTCTGTTTTGAGGTCTCAGAGGCAGCTTTTGCTGTCTCTTCCTCAGGGAGGAACACACTGACAGTAAAGTCACTTGTCTCCGAGCCGTATTTGTTTTTCACCACCAGGCTGTACTTCCCAGAGTCGTTCGTCTGGACTGCAGTAATGGTGAAGTAGGCCGTTTTCCCAGCTTCTAGCTTCAGGATGCAATGCTCATCTGAGGCCAATGCCTTTTCATTCTTCAGCCAGGAGATCTCAGGACTGGGATCACCCCACAGATTGCAAGTAAGATTCAAAGCCTAAAAAAGCCAGTCGATGGAGGAGAGAAGGCAATGAAAGAGAAGATAATCTTAGTTAAATAATAATTTCCAGAATAATCCATTGAGTCCTCTGGCATGGTCAGATGGGAAAGGTAAGTGTAGACATTGTGGACCAGTGGTTGTTGGCTGCTAAGTACTTGTCTGAGTGCCGGATTTGTTTTTGAGTTAAACTTTTCACCCTAAGAATCCACTAAACAAATTGGGTTCTTGAGGACTGAAATCTGACTGTGGAAGATTTGGAGACTAAAGGTTATCATTAGCTTCAAATGTCACAAGGAAGGATGGCTCCTTCGACTCATACTCATCACCCTTTCTTTCATAAATGCCAACTGATCACATTTGCTGTAATGTAAAATTCTAATTCTGCCACAGTAGCGAAATCTCATTGCCACCATCACCCCCTCTGTATTTTTTCATCATATTTTCTGAATGGCAGGCAGCTGCTTTGGACAAACTAACTTATTTTCAAATTTGTTTTCCTTTGTTTTCTACTTTTCCCCAAGTTCCACTCAATCTGTGGAAGTGACAAGGCTGTCCTGGCAAGATTCTTTCTAAATAGAACATTTCCTATTTATTGCTAGCCACCTGTATCAAAATAGGTCTGTTGCTACATTGTATCCTAGGATTTTGAGTGGATAGAAGCCTTAAAGGTCACTTAGTCCACCCTTGTCCCCATTTTACAGATGAGGAAACTGAGGACCAGAGAGGTTAAGTAATTTGTACTAAGTACCAGAATCAGGATTAGAGCCCTGATCTCCCAATTGGGTTCAGAAAATTTAGACCAGATCAAAAAGACCAATCTCTTAGATGAAAAAATCACTATGTCTAACATTTCAAATTCTATTCCATCACTTTTCTTACCAATGTCCTAAATCAAAGACAAAAGAGCTTCTTTGAGGGTAAAGGCTATTTTCCATTTTCTTTTCATATCCCTAGTGTCCAGTACTGTGCATTATACACAATCAGTACTTAATAAATGCTTGTTGGTTTGTATTGAATTAGATTGGGCTGAAAAAACCTTTGATCTTTTTTCACCTATGGAGAGACTAGCTACTATATCAAACCTCCATCACACTAGAATGTTTAATTTGCCTTATTTTAAATTGTTATGTGTCATATTATAAATTATTATTATAATCATTATAGATTATTATTATAATCATATTATTACAAATTATATGTCATAGTGCTGTCTTGATTGTCCTTAAGGTGTTTCTATTGATATGGGAAAGAGTTTCCAGAAGCACCAGGGATGGCCTTGTTAATTTTGATTTTAGTGACACACACATAGAGGTGTATGTGGTCAAAGATGCGTGTTCTTTGATTTGATGATAAACTTGTAAAAAGCCTAAACATCTCTACATCCTGGCTTCCCTCTCTTTCTTCTAGTCCCAGTTAAAATTCTTCCTTATACAGGAAAGCTTTCTTATTCCTTCTTAATCCTGGTGCCTTCTCTATTTTGATTATCTCCAATTTAGCCTATATATAGCATGTTTGTGCACAGTGGTTTACACATTGTCTCCCCATCTTAGACTGTGAATTCCTTGAGACCAGCATCTGTTTTTTTTTTTTTAAATTGTATCCCACCTTTATTGTAAGCCCACCTCAGTTTCAAATACAACTTCAGTATCATTGAATAGGCACAGAATAGTGGATAGAGATCTGGCCTTGGAGTCAGAAAAACTCAGGTTCAAGACCTATCCCTGACACATACTGTGTGATATACAGGAAGTCACTTTTCAATGCTCCAGGCTACAGTCTAAGACCATATGTTATGAAAAGTTGTGGCTTTGCACTGGTGGAAGGAGTTCCCTAAACTGATGAAATCCCAAGTCTGGACCAAGAGGTGAGAGAGAGGAAACACTGAATGTTTTTGAACAGAGGGGTGACATGCACATAAAGAAGATTCATCTTGCAGTGGTGTGAGGGATGGATTGAGGTGGAGATTGTTGGGGGGAGGGGACCCTTTACAAGGTTACTGCACTAGTACAAGTGGTTACCTATAGGAGAATGGTAACAGTGGAGATATATAGTGGGGGTTGGATCTGAAAAATAGTTAAGAGGTAGAAATGGGCAGGACTTAAAAACTGTCCTATAGTTGCTGTCTGACTCTAGAATTTCCCTCAGCTCCTAGGGCCTCCTCCCCTGGGAACACAGCTTTTCCTCATGGGTCCCCTTCTCCCATTGGTGAATTCATCCCAGGGCCTCTATTTTGGGGAAGGGCCCAAGTTGGCTAACCTGTAAGCTCCTCATTAGATTGTAAGGTCCTTGAAGACAGGTACAGGTACTGTCTTTTGCCTCTTTTTGTGTCCTCAGTGCTTAACCCAGAGACTGGCACATAGCAGATGCTTCATAAATGTTTATTGATTATTGATTATTGATTTTTCTCCTGGCTCAGCTCCTGACTCACTTTCCAATGTAAACACCATGTCCTTGTGCACACCTTTCCCCATTCCCCCACCTGTTTTCAACTCTCTTTCATGTGTTGTCTTCCCCCGTTAGAAAGTAAGCTTTTTGAGGACAGGGACTGTCTTTTTTTTGCTTGTATTTGAATTCCCAGTGCTTAGCACAGTGCTTGGTGTTCTGTGACATACCTTGCCTTCCTGTATGGTGACCACATCTGGCAAACCTCCCAATACACGGGCACGATCTGAAAACACATGTATTTCTACTAAGTATCTGCAAAGTTACAAATGCTTATACTATAAGTATAATCATGTCTATTAAACAATTTTCAGATTTCATTTCCCTCTCTCTTTTTAAAAATGACTTTTAAAAATCCACTTATTTTCAATATATGTAACAAAAAAAGATGTAGCTGGTGGTTTTGGACTTTCACTTGCTAATACAAACACACCAACACACACACACACACACACACACACACAAACATTTTCCACCTCTCACAAATATCTTTGATAACTTTGCTCCAAATGAAACTCATTTTTGGCTTGAGACTGTTCTGCTGTATCAGGGAAGAGGTCTACTCCAGAACTTTTGTCTGGAGTTGTCTGGCTCAGACAACTCTGGAGCTGAATGAAACTGCATCTGGAGTTTCATATGGCAGAGAGGGTTCGTTTAAATGCCTTCCAGGGACATCTGAAACTAATTTCTGGGCTTCCCCAGTATTAGAAATAGTTGAGTCATACAGGGGAATGTGTATCAGCCAGGCCTGGAGGCTTGCAACACATTGAATTCATTTATAAACTTCTCTAAAGATCTTGTCCATAGTCCCCAAGTAGCTGGCTTACAAGGCCCTGGTAGATGATTCCAACTCAAGCCTCACCGCACCCCCAACTCTGCTACAGCACCTTCCATTTTCTATAGACTGCTTTCTGGACTTTCCACACATTCCCCCTCATTTTCCCTGAGTCAGGCTGTAAACGTAAACAGGCACCTGCAGATAATACGATTTGGTCCTGTTCAAACTCTACCTTCATTTTTGTCCTGTGACCTGGTTCTAGATCCCTCTCTCCACATGGGGAATCATACTGTTACCTGTCCTGCCCAAAAGGGGCTTGGGTGTTCTGCCCAAAGGAATATAAATTTTGATAAGTTCGAAAGATATCTTGGGGTTTATGGTCTAAATTTCTTTTTTAAAGTTCATGCGTTAAACCCAAATCACTCTGGCTCTCATTGATTGGTCAACAAAAGGTCCCAGCCCAAGCTTCACTTGGTCATTAGATTGGTGAAGTATTCCTGGAATGGATAATGCCTTTTTATACCTAAAGAGTCCGTATTTATGCATACAGTTGATAGCTTTACAGATGGGGCCTAGACATCGCTATAACAGGGGCAAACTGTTGCTAGGGCCAAATATAGCTGGCCAGGTGAGGCTGGATTTGTCCTGGGGGTTGGGGTGGGGGTGGTAGTTTGTTAATTCTTGTTCTAATGCACCAATGCTCCAATGCCCCTCCCACCTCCATACCACTCTCCCTTCCCTTTCTTTGATTAGGGCCCCTGAAAAGCATAGACTTGCTTAGATAGAGGGAGGATTCTGAGCTCTCACCTCTCCTGGTAGAACTAAGATAGGTCTCTAGAGTTTACAGGCCTTGAGATACCACCTAGAATGTTTGGGGATGGTGGTCAATCCCTTTCGAAGCATGGACAATTTGATTGTCCAGTGACTAAAAATTGGGAGACATCTGAGGTACCCTGCTAACCCCTGGGTAAACAGGTCGGAGTCTAATTCTGCTAAAGGGAGGTTGGAGGGATAACAGGACTAGGAGTGGTTTTAGATCCCCTACCTAAGAATGGAGCCAGTGCTAAGTCTTAGAAAGCACAGAGCAGAAAATGCACACCAAAAGAAGTAGGGGAGACCACGTGCCTTTGGGAAGAGAAAGAATGACCTGACTTTTGGGCAATCCTCTGGCATTTACAGACAGCTAAATTTTACAACATCCAACACAAGAGTGACAAGTACCTCAAGAGAAGGGAGTCCTTAGTGTGCCTGCCACCTTACTGTCAGAGCTGTGTGCTCTGTTGAAAGTTAAAATTACTAGCTAAATCAGGAAAGAAAAAAAAATATCTGCCTTACAAATCTCTAGAGTGCCCATGAAGAGCTGGAGGACTTTAGACACTAGGACAGGGGTAGGGAACCTGCGGCCTCAAGGCCACGTGTGGCCCTCTAGGTCCTCAACTGTCAATCAAACTGAAGTTTGGATTCAGTCCAAGGGCGGCACTTGAGGATCTAGAGGGCCACATGTGGCCTCAAGACCACAGGTTCCCCACCCGTGGACTAGGAGAAGACCCTTGAATGGTAGGCAGGTAACCCCACTGACAGAGAGACCAGAGGCTAACAACCTCAATATCACAGGACCTAAATTTTAGCTAGAAGACAGCAGAGGTGATTCAATGGTCAGTCCAGAGGAGAGTGAGCAGGTGACACCTATACAGCACCCACACCACTCAAGAGCAGACTAAACCAGAAGAAAATGGTATATCCCAGTATCAAAAGATAAACCAACCAAGAACTACGGGTGATTGCAGGTAACATTTCTTCTGGTCCATGGTGGGATTGTGGGAATTTAGGTTACTATGATTTGCCTAATGCAGAAGAATTTACAAGACTTCACCCCCCCCCTTTAAAAAAAATTAGAATTCCCTTCCAATAAATGCCTGCAAGTTGGTGTCAAATTACTAGCTTTTCCAGCAGAGAGATTCCTCTGGTTTTCAATTCCCTAAAGTAACCTAGGTCCTTTCTTCATGCCATGCGTGTCTTTGACACACAGATCACAATGCAGGTATGGTAACAAGTACTTAAGACAAACACGTCTGGGCAAAACATCCATGCAAACTATGCATTCTCTCTTCACAGTTACGGCAGTGAAGTAAAAGGTTATTCCAACTCTAAACTTTTTCTGCAGTCAAACGTGAAAGTTGTTCACTTACTTTTCTCCGCAATAGCAGCTTGTCTGGATTTGGAGGAACAAAAGAAAAAAAAAAGAGGAAAAATGTTAGAATTGATTCAAGGTAGGTAGCCGGACCCGCCTCTAATTGCTTCAGAAAACCCTTGCTGCACAATGGAGCAGCTGGAAGTCCTGCTTTGGACGTGCAAAAAACCCTTTTTAAAAAAGTGAAGATCCGCAGAAACAGTACACCGTGTTCCCATTTCAATTAGGGCACTTAAAACGATACTTGCAAGGGAAAGGACTTACTTTAACCTCTGGAATTCAGCAAAAGCTTCATCGTAGGCTGCCAACAGAAGAAAAACAAATGATAAGTGTTTTCTCGTGGAAAATTCACGACCCCCAGAGTTCCATTATAATAGTTACCTTTACCCATGCTTTGCCTAAGACCGTGTCTTTATCGGCTCTAAAACTTGAATTTACTTTAAAATGGAAAAAAAAATGTTTTTTGCTCCTCAGGTGGCAAAATAGGAAATGTTAAAATTTAAGGTCTTTTGTGTAGGGAGACAGACATGTACCAAATGAATAGAAAAGCGATAACTAGGCTGGTTAAAGGTGGCCATTGTAAAAGTTGGGCGTGAGGTTCTCCGGCGGTGCTTGCCTGGTGCCCAGGGAGGCTGAGGCTGGAGAATCTGGAGCTCAAGAGCTCTGAGCTGCAGAGGGCTATGCCAGTTGGATGTTTACAATAAGTCTGACTTCTGGGGGGGGTGGGGTGGGGAGAGTCCAGTAGGAAACTGAGCAGGTCAAAACTCCTGAGCCAATCAGAATGTGATTGCTCTGTGAGTAGCCCTTGTACTTCTAGCTTGAGAGAGACAGGGAGACCCAGTCTCTAGAAACAACAGTACACACACAAAAAACCCCAAACCCTGGTATCCCAACCTATAAGAGTTTCTAAAAAACAGACAAAAGTTTGGATCCCCATAATGAACTGTCTTAGAACCCACATTCATCCAGTCTCCTTTATGTATAGTTTCCATGTGACTTTGTGCTGGCCTGTGACAGAGAAGCACATTTGATTAATTTCCATGTATGCTTGGCTTGAAGCAAGGTTTCCCAAACAGGGGACTGGGCCCTTGAGGAGGACTGGAGGGAGGGAGACTGGAGCCGAGGAAGTTAGTTCTGAGTGTAACTAAGTAAGGCCAATTTTAGTGTGTGTAAGAAGGATTTTGTTATTCCTTTTTAGATGATAGCTCCAGGATCCTAGGTAACATTTCCCACAAATTATAGCTGAAAACATCTCCATCACACTTGCACGGTGAGATAGAGGGATGACATAATGTACCCCTGCACTGTGTTAAGTCATGATGATATTGCTAAAGTTAACCTGTGAGCTTAATGTTGGCAAGATACCTTCTTTGTCCGTTGCCCTGTAAAGCAAGTGGGCACTGATCAGTGAGTAGGGAACCCATTTTGGGGATGAGGGTAATGCAAGAGAAATGCATATACTTCCTTGATTGGCCCTCATCAAGGCTTAGGGGATCTCGAAGGAGGTGTACCCGGCCCACAAGTACTGTGATTAGGGAATGCTGTAGGAGTTGGTGCTCTCATTATCAGCAACCCTTTTGAGAAGGCTAGACTAGAATAAAGTAAGCTTATTGAAACCCTCTGAAGCTGTCTTCCTGTCTGACTGGATCAAGAGTGAACCTGTGCTAGGACACCTGTTAGTGTTAGGAGCCCTCCTGTGTTGTCCAGCCTCACAAACGGTGTTACCTGTCTGTTTACCTGTGAAACAGGAACCCAGGCTTCTCTGGGCATGCCCAGTTTGTCTAAGATGGAGGTGGCCCAGATCACCTAGCATTGAGGCCTTTATCTGCTACCACATGGATTGGAGTAGTCTTCTTTGATTGGCTGCTTGTATCTTTAAAACTGGTGAGACTGAGCTGATCTCTTCCTACCATACTCTTTCTGCCAAGTCCTTTTTGGCAAACTCTTTCAATGTTACACCCAGCGCTTGGCAGTTGAAGGTACTAAAGCTGCCTCATTTTTTCTGGAGCTAGCAGTACCAACACTTTCAAATAAAAGCACCCAACAGTGGCAGTTGCCGGGTATCAGGTACTCACAGAAGCATGAATTTGGAATCTTGCTTAGAGAGAATCTCATTTACCATCCCTTTTGTTCCCCTTCATTTTACAGATGAAGGGACAGAATTTCAAAAGGAAGGAGACCTAACTTGCCCAGGATCACCAGCCTAGTAACATGACTGACGCTGAGAGTCTTCTGCTGCAGATGTGTGTTCTCTCATTAGGACAAGTACTATTAACTCTACCTTCTGGGTAGACTTGACTTCTCCACTCTCATTCTTTAAGATCTCCTGTGATATTAGAATCATTGCATTTTAGAGAATACAGTGTTTCTAGGGGAAACTGAATCATCGGAGCTTAACGAGGGCCGAGGTCATAATGTAAATTTAGAGAAAAATAAATAGAGAATAATAAAATAAAAAGAGCTGAAAGGGCTCTCAGAAGCCCTCTGGTCCAACCCTCTCATTTTATAAATGAGGAAACTAAGGCCCAGGGAAGTTGTGTCTTGCCTAAAGTCATACAGATAACAAGCATCACAGATGTGTGGATGACTTTTTTTTCAGAAATGTAAGTAATTAGCAGTCATTATGGACATGGGACTATATTTAAAAAAATTTTTTTTGATCTAGCATCAATAATTTTTTAACAATTTAGTCTGGAATAATATAGATATAAATAATTACTGGAATAATATAGATACAAACAAGGCAGTTTTGAAGAGAGCCGGGTGGCACAGTGGATAGAGTACCAGGGTTGGAGTCAGGAAGACCTGAGTTCAAATCTAGCCTCAGAAACCTACTTAGACATATATCCCAGGGCAAGTCACTTAACCTCTGTCTGCGTCTGTTTCCTCATCTATAAATTGGGGGTAGTAATAGCACCTACCTTCCAAGATTATTGTGAGGATCAGATGCCATAATAATTGTAAGGCAATTTACAATGTGCTGTATAAATGGTGGCCATTATTATTATTTTTAGGCAAAACTCCTTCATTTAGTTATTAGGTCCTACCTGGAATACTTAGCTGAGTGACCCTAGGCAAGTAATTCAGTCTCTGCCTCAGTTTCCTCATCTGCAAGATGAGGGGGTTGGGCTCAATGACCTTTGAGATTTCTTCCACGTCTAAATCTATGATTCTATAAAGTGGAGGAGAATTTAGTGTTTTAAATTGCTGACCCTGAAACATAAAGGGAGGTAGTTGGGAATGACTTAAGATGGAAAGGATTTTGGAGAAATAATAATGATGATGATAATAGAAGATGATGTTTATCACAACCACCCAGTAAGGTTAGTAAGAGTATTTTACACCTACTTTAAGGTTTACAAATTACTTTTTCTTGCAACCAACCCTGCAAGGTAGGTAAAGGAAGAATTATTACCCCCATTTTGCAAGTGAGGAAATTGAGGTTTGGAGTAGTTAAGTGACTTGGCTTGAATAATCACCCGATTGATCAGCACCAGAGATGAGTCTTGAACCCAGATCTTAAGGTTTCAAGTCTAATGCTTCCCCACCTCCCCCGGTGTATTCCTTACCTTGTCCAGAAAGATCCACTTTCCTCTCATGGTTAGTTTTGCCATCAAAGAGCTCCATTACATATTTTCCTTTGTCATTTGGAGTAGGCTCATTGATTTGTAACCAAATCTGCTCTCCGGTGACACCGCTCTTAACTCTGTCGCTGTACCTAATAGCAGTTCCGCTTTGGGAAACAAAGGAAACATCATTAGTGCTTTCTTTGGGTTAGGATTTCTTGTTCCCTTGAGCTCTTCTTGCTAAGAAGAGGCCAACATAAAAGCACTAAAAGACTTTCAAAGGACTGTTGGCCTGGCAGCAATTTCTCCTGTGCTTCAGTGAATATTTCTGGCTGCTGAAACAAGGCTCTGCAATGATCAGTGGCCGTGAGTCAGGGAAAGAACTTGACAAGAAGGTATGGGACTGTGTTTTGGGTATGTCACCCCATGCAAACCGCTGTTTATCCTAACATGTCACCCCAAATAGTAGCCTGGAAGTCAGAAAGAAAAGCAACTATTTCAATCAGACCTACTCTGTACTCTCCCCAGTTCCCAATATGTGTTGTGATATTTATTATCATTATTTTTGCCATTCAGTCATTTTCAGCCATGTCCAACTCTTCATGACCCCATTTGGGGATTTTCTTGGCAAAGATACTGGAGTGGTTTACCATGTCCTTCTCAGCTCATTTTACAGAAGAGAAAACTGAGGCAAACAGGGGGTAAGTGACTTACCCAAGGTCACATAGCTAATAAGTATCTGAAGCTGGATTTGAACTCAGGAAGATGAGCCTTCCTAACTCCAGACCTGGCACTCTATCCATTGCACCACCAAGCTGCCCATCAATCATTATTTTTAGTTGCCGACTTAGAATCGTTAAGGCTAAAAGACCAAACTATAGGTTAGTTTATATTTCATCCTAGGGACAAAATGATTGCTTCATGGGTAGATTACACTTTGCAAACTGGCAAAGGACATGGGTTCATTTCTATGTGAAATCCATTAGTAAATGGTGTTGTCAAATAATCAAGATACACGGGAGAGAAACAGGGTATGTGGGAGCAAGAACTAGAATCAGAGTTGTCTCAGAAATGAAGAGGGAAGATTCTTCTGTACTAGGACACAGTGTGCTCAATAGAATAATCAATCTCAAGTGCAAGGCCAGCATGAACAGCTACTGGTATTTATCTGTCTGTAATAATGAGAATGTAGCAAGAATCATAATCCCTTATCTGGGATCTGCAAGTATAGAAATACTGTTTCTTTGGATAAATATGTGTTTGTGCAAGCCTTTTGAAAAGTATAACAGGGAGGAAAGCTACCAAAATGGAGGAGTAGGAGGAAGCAGTACAGAGCTATGTAGAAATTTTGAAATGCAAATATTGGAGTAGAGAGAAACAAAAAAGTAAATACAAGCAAGTAATCAGAAAAGACTTCCTAAGTGTTTGCATTCTAAGGGGTGGGATGGAGGTAATATCAGCTAGGATCCTAGAGGGAGTAAAAGAAATTGGAGGAGCTAGGAGTGATTTTTGCTATATTTTGATGATCTTAAAAGATGAAAGGAATGGGGATGGGGGAAGATACCCTAGTGAAGAAAAGAGGAGAAATAAAAGGGGACTTTATATCTCACATAAATAGGGAGGAGGTACAAAATCACCTTCAACTTACCTAGCATAAACCTTGTTTATACATAATTGCTTGCATGTCTCCTCTGTTAAGCTGTGAGCACCTTGAGGGCAAGGACTGTTTTTGCCTTTTTTAAGAATCCCAAGGATTTAACGAAGTGCCTGGTACATAGTAAGCACTTAATAAATGCTTGTTCATTGACTGACCTAACAATATACTCAGGACTTCCAATATTAGCCAGGAGAATAGATTTTCCATGACTTCCTATAATAATCATTTTAACTTTCCTGATAGTTTTAAAATAATGTCATGGCTTATGAAGGCACTGAAATCAGCCCTTTGACTTTGGAATTCCTAACAGGATCCAAAAATAAATGGAAAAACTTTTATTTGAACAATTAAATAGAATCATTTAAGTGCTTGATATTTACTAGCAAAATAGCCATAACAAAAAAGTCCAGCATTTGACAAGATTTCTCATGTTCCTTTGGTGGAACAGACAGAGAGATGTAGGCTAGATTTTAAGTGGTTATGGAATTGGTTCAGTGGCCCTTAGTGCAATGCCCCTGGCACATAGTGCTTGACAAATAATTTCATCCTTTCTTCTTTCTTCTCCCCTTTCTTTCTTTCTCTTTCTTTCTTCCTTTCTTTCTTTTCCTTCCTTCCTTTTCTCCTTCTCTCCCTCCTTCCCTTCCATTCTTCCTTCTTTCCTTCCATCCTGCCTATCCTTCCTTCCATCATGCCTATCCTTCCTTCCTTTCTTCTTTCCTTTCTTTTTTCTTTCTTTCCTTCCAGATCAAATAGTAATTAATTGTTCTCTAACAACTTGGGAGGAGGGCTTTAGTAGAGTACCTCAGGGATCTGTGCTTGGCCTGTGCTGTTTAACATATTTGTCAATGTATATTTGCATAAAGGGATAGATAGATAGACAGACAGATAGATAGATAAATAGCTGGTATGCTTAACAAGTTTTCAGAGTACACAAAGCTAAAAGAGAAGCTAACATCCTGACAGAGTCAGTGTTCAAAGTGTCTTGATAGGCTAGAACATTGAGTCACATCTAATAAGGTAAAATTTAATAGAGGTAAATGTAAAAGTCTAATACTTAGGTTAAAAAATCATTTCATAAGTACAAGATGGGGTAGGTGTGATAGGCAGCAGCATATCTGAAAAAAAAAATAGGTTTTTAGTGAATTAAAAGATTAACGATTCCATAGTGTGACATGGCAGCCAAGGGAGCTAATACAATCTTAGGCTGCATTAAGGCAAGCATGGTGTCCAGGATGAGTTGACAGCTGTCTCTCCTTCATTCCTGGCTGAACCATATGTATAATATTATGCCCGTTCATTACTGGGTGGCACGTTTTAGGAAGCACATTCTTTAAGGTGGAGAATATTCAGCAGAAGGCAACGAAAATAATATAGTGCATTGAAATCACGCCCTTTGAGATTCAAGGGAAGGATTTGGGCATGTTTAGCTTGGAGAAGAAGCTAAGAAGTTCTTTCACGTGGGATTAAATTTGTTCTGCTTGGCTCCATAGATCAGAACAAGGAAGAGTGTGTGGACATTGCAAAGAAGCAAATTTTGGTTTAATGCAAAGAAGAACTTCTTAACAATTGGAAGTGCCCTGTAATGCATTGAGCTGCTGTGGGATTCGGTGGATTCCCTCTCAGGGGATGTCTTCAAGCAACAGCAAAGCCACTGGCTGCTTACGTTGTTTAGGTATGTGTTGAATTAGATGGCCTCTTCTGTGTAACTTGGAGCATTTGTGATTCGCCCCCTTTCTCAAATAACATTCACATGCCCCAGCTTGCTTCCTTTCTTTCTTTCTTTTTTTTTTTAGGCAATTGGGGTTAAGTGACTTGCCCAGGGTCACACAGCTAGTAAGTGTCAAGTATTTGGTCTGAGGCTGGATTTGAACTCAGGTCCTCCTGACTTCAGGGTTGGTGCTCTATCCACTGTGCCACCTAGCTGCCCCTCCCAGCGTTCTTGTTCAGCAGGTAGTTATTGTAGAGAAGACATAAAGCTGACGGTTCCATAGCATATCCATTTGACTTATCTTTGCTCCTCACCACTTCCTTCAGGTTAATTCATTGGAAGGTACTAGATGTCACAGATAAGATTTCTAGAAACTTGGTGACCTAATTTTATCCATTTTAACTTAAAATAACTTCCAAAAATGTACCTGAGAGAAAAAGTCAGAACAAAAGAAAGAAAAAAGCATTCTGTGCTGGCATCCTGCTTTCTTTCATATTTGTTGTTGTTGTTCGGTTGTTTCAGTTGTGTCCAACTCTTAGTGGCCCCATTTGGGATTTTCTTGACAAAGATACTAGAGCGCTTTGCCATTTCTTTCTTCAGCTCATTTTACAGATGAGGAAACTGAGACAAACAGGCTTAGGTGACTTGCCCAGGCTCACACAGCCAGTAAGTGTCTGAGGCTGGATTTGAACTCAGGTCCTCCTGACTCCAGGCCTGGTGCTCTGTCATGCCACCTAGCTGTCTTTCTTCCACATAAGACCCCTGGAAATCTTAACTAAACTAACAATTGAGGGGGCTGGGGAAGGGGGAAGAACTGAAGTAAATATTAGTACTGAAATTTGTTACTATTACCTATTAAATTAGTAATTCGTAATAATGGGGGAAAATTTTAAAATACAAAATTAAGTTTTTATTTTTAAAAATAATTATAATAATAGTAATCACCAGAAGGCTAGGCATCGAGGTAGAATAAATTCCTTCAAGCTTGAATCAGTCCAAATTCACCCCCAAACCTTAAAATCCTTCCTGAGATGTGGGCTGCAGGATCTACAACATTCATTAGTGTAGTAGTTTAGCCACAGGACACTTCAGTGGCTTATGGATTCCTTGAAAAATAAGACCATTAGTTCATATCTTGGGAAGTCTGGAGTCCACTAAAAGATATTGATTTGTTACAATATTAATCATCTACTCCTTCATCTTTCAATAATTTTTTGCTATATTTAAAGTTCAGACAGAATCAGGGGACCTTTGTTCAAATTTAGCTTCAACTACTACTTGGGATATAATCTGTTCCACCCCCTAAAGAAAAATCTTTCTGAAAGAATAGCCTGCCACAAATTCTTTGCTTCTGACTTCTAATCTTATATGTCCCAATCTGAAGGCCATGAATGTTGAAAGAAATCTCTACTTCCAAGAAGGATGTTGGGATTTTTGCTTTTCTTTAGGGAGGAAAAGTTCCCTCGAGGCCAGTAGGCTCCCATTTACTTACTTGTGGGACCAGTTCACTTTCAGATCATCCAGGTAATAATTAACAAAGGAGTACAGCCTGATGCCCTCTGCTGTGCTCTGGATTTTCAGTTCTGTGGCAGACAAAGCTGAAAGGAGATGGCAGGTTATTTCATGCACATTGAAGTTCCTCCACAAAACAGAACAATGAGTGACTCATGCAGCTTCTGAAAAAATGAAAACTTACCAATTGTCTTGCAGACTTCAGTCATCAGGTCTTTAAAAGCTGTGAAAACAGATGTAGAGAAAAAGTTCAATAGAGAAAGAAACTGAAGTTTGCATTAAACATAAAAACTTAGCTTCAAGTTTCCCTGTTTGTTTGAGAGGATAAAAAAATTTAGATTTGGAAGTCTATTTTACAGAAACTGAGGTACACAAAGTTTAGATGATTTGCCCAAGGCAGCATAGGTAGCAAATGTCAGGATTCAAACCCAAGTTTCCTGACTCCTTGCCCATTCCACTATCCTTTGCCATACCCACCCCAGAGATCAAAGCCAAAATTCAAACCAATTACTTGTTAGTAATTCTGTTACAAGGTTTGGTGTAGGAAGAAGTTAAAGCATTGGGTATTTGCTTAATAATTATAATTTTGTTCACTTAATAATTACTGATAGCAATTATTTATTAATTTAATGCTGATAGCAATTAATAATAAAATCAAGGTTTGCAAATTACTTTCTATAGATTATCTCATTTGATCTTCACAATAACCCTGCAAGATATAGATGAGGAAACTGAGGCTTAGAGAGTTTAACTGACCTCCCCATAGTCACATGAAGTTGAACCGAGGGCTCTCTTGACTGCAGGTCCAGTGGTACCATACCACAATATTTTATAAGTGACTAATATTATCAAGATATACCCATCCCCAAGAACCTCAGAGAAGCAAGGTTGCATTTGGGGGGAGCTTCTTACCTAGGTAGTAGCTATATAGCTTGGAATTTCATACATAATCATCATAATCATTGCATTTGGGTGGGGTTTCTTACCCAGGTAATAGCTGTATAGCTTAGAATTTCATACATAATCATCATAATCAATCACTATTTTTGTCTTCATTTGAGAATAGATCGTTCTTTTAAATACATGTTTTATGTGTATATATGTATGTGTAAATATACATATATGTATATATTTGGCATAATGGATAGAGTGCTAGGCATGGAGTTAGAAATATCTGGGTTTAAATCCCACCTCTCCGAGCCTCAGTTCCATCAATGGTAAAATAGTGATAATCTTACCTGTAGTACATATCTTACAGATTGTTGTAAGAATCAAATGAGATTGTCTAGGTATGGTTCTTTGAAAATCATATAGTTCTACATAAATGGCAATTCTCATAGTTGAGTTTTTGTTCTAGGAAAATTTTTTAAAAGATAAAAATAATTTTTGGAATTAGCCTATTAAACTTTCTATAAGTGTCTGAGAACACACATAGCTCAGTTGGTATGTCTATGATTTCTAGGGAGATTTTCAAATAAAACAATCCCTCATCTACTGGAACTTTTAGAGAAAATCTATGAATGGAGAGCCATGTGACTTCACACAATATTCTGGTAACCTTACTATAGATTATATCAATGAACTGAAGTATGAACTCAGCAGGGAAGACTGACCTTCATCCACAAGCTTTAGTCTGCTCTTGTCTTTCCCTCGGTCATCTTTCAGTATCACTTCGTAAAAACCAGCATCTTTCCTGGAAAACTAGAGGAAAGGGGAAGGAAGAAAAAACACACAACATCCCAATGAATAATAGTTTTGGTCAGATTGGAGAGAAGCTTTAAAAAGAAAAATTGGGTTTGAATTTTTAAGGCCCATGACTTAATGTAAATCTGGCATAAACATAAGTTAAACAAGAAATTTCTTACCTGAGGGATGGAGGACAATTTCACAGAAGACCCCTCCCGTTATAATTTACCTAACCAGCAATCTTGGTTTGTCATCTTTGTGATACTTTAAATGATTTAAACAGTGAAGTCTGAGGCCCTTAGCTTGTACACTTTTATTACTAAAACCAAATTTCAAGGCATTCAGAAGCATTGCTTTTTAAGCAGGACATACATTGAAAAATATTTTTATAGTTTGGTTTGCAGTATAGGGGGAAATGAGCTATCTTGAAGTTCAAATAAGGAAATCATAGAATCAACTGTCTTAACATGCCTCTCACCTCAACTTTGTCATGCATTCATAGAGTACAAAAGCCATGTCCCCTGCACTAGCCAATCTTCTTTTTCCCATCTTGACCCCTTGGCGAACCAATTAAATTCTACAATGTCCTCCTTTCTTGAATCCCAAACCCTCTGACCATTTTGGTGATTCCACCTTCCCAAGTCTTGAATCATTCTCACCATTCCCCAACTTCATTCCTACTCACATGCTTCTGAAAGAAGGTGGGAAAAAATCATGCAACCATTCTGGATCCACTGGATTCACTACAAATTTATGTTACCAACTTCAACTAGGCCCTCACTGATGCTAGGCAATTCTTCTATATCTGCCTTATTAACTTATAAGTTGATATACCAGGAATTCTTTTTAATTCCTCTTCAAAACTCCCCTGGCTTTTCCTCCCTCCACTTTCTCAGTGGAGAACCTTGCCTTATATTTTACAGAAAGATTGAGTCTGTTTGCCATGAGCTCTTTCTTCTCCCCTTGTTATCTCCTATCACTCGGATGCCTTCTGCCACTATCTCCTCCTTCACCCCTGTCTCACATGATGAGATAGCATTACTCCTTACCAAGAACAATACCCCTCAGGCAATCCTATTCCTTACCATCTCTCCCAACATATTGCCACCTCTATTACCCCTGCTTTAACACTTATTTCCAGTCTTTCCTTGTCTACTGACTGGTTCCCTGCTGCCTACAAACATGCCTATGTCTCCCTCGACCTGAAAAAACCCTCATTTGATCCTTCGGTCCCCACCATTGCTCTACATCTCTTCTCTCCTTTGGGGCTAAATACCTTGAAAAGGTCACCTAGGTTAGGTGTCTCCACTTTCTCACCTTTCACTCCCTTCTTAACCCCTTCTAATCTGGTTTCTGATCTTATTGGATCTAAATTGCTGTCTCCTTAAATACCAACAATCTCTTAGTTTTCTCCTCCACTTCTCTTCAGCTTTTGACACTGCTGATCACCCTTTCCTCCTCTATACTTTATTCGCTTTGAGTTTTTAGAACACCACTCTTTCCTGGTTCTCCTTCTACCTATCTGACTGCTCCTTCTCAGTCTTCTTTGCTATATTCTCATTCAGATCATTCTCTGTAACTGTAGGCATCCCATAGGGCTCTCTCCTGGGTCTTCTTCTCTTCTCTCTCTATATGGCTTCACTTGGTGATTTCATTGGCTTCGTTGGATTTAATTACCTTCTCTATGCTGATGATTCTCAAATATACCTTTCCTGTCCCAATCTCTCTACTGATATCCAATCACCAACTGCCTTTCAGATACCTCAAACTGGATATCCCGTAGTCATCTTAAACACATCATGTCTAAAATAGAAATCATTATCTTTCCCCCTAAACCCTCTCCTCTTCTTACTTTCCCTATTATTGTAGAGGGAACAGTCCCTCCTCCCATTTCCTTACTATCTTTCACCCCATCACATTCCATCTATTGCTAAGGCCTGCTGATTTCCCTTTGCAACATCTTTTGAATGTGCCCCCTTCTCTTCTTTGACACTGCCATCAGTCTACTTCAGGCCCTCATCACCTCACGTCTTGATTATTGCAATGGAATAATCCTGGAATAGTAACTTGCTGGTGGGACTTCTTATTCAAACCTCTCCCCATGCACATTGATAAATAACTAAGACATATATAGGGTAAATACAAAGTAATTCCAGAGAGGTGGGGATATCACTGACAACCAAGAGTCAGGAAAGACTTTATAGAGGAGACAGAATTTGAGCTGAGTATTGAAGGGAACTAACAAGTCTAATTTGTCTTCTACATGATAACTCATCAGACTCTTCATGTTTCCCATCTTCTCTTATCCAGGCTAAATATCTCCAGTTGCTTCCATTACTCCTCACATTAGATGACCTTGAAGTCTTTTGACATACTGGTTGACCTCTGTTCAGTGTTCTCCAGTTTATCCACGTCCATCAGATTGTAAGCTCCTTGAGGTCAGGAACTGTCTTTTGCTTCTTTTTATATCTACCACACAGTGCCTGGCACATAATAGGTTCTTAATAAATGTTTATTGCTTGATTAATTAATTGTTAAAACATGATACTCAGAACTGAACACAATAGTCCAGATGTGGTCTGAGTACAGGCAGAGCACAGCGGGAGTATGACCTCCCTAGTCCAATGTACAATGTCTCTCTTAATTCAGCCTAAGATCTTTTTAGCTTATTTTGCTGCTGTGTCACACCGTTGACTCACACTGAGCTTGCATTTTCCTTAAACACTAATTCTTTATGAGAGTAACTGCTGTCTAGTCATCCCCCTATCCCCCACCCCGTTTAGCTTTGTGATGGAGAAGAGAGTCTATTCTTTTTTTATTTTTTATAACCCTTCCCCCACTCCAAGATGGTGTGCATTCTGAATACCCCTTCCCCTAATTTGCCCTTCCTTCTATCACCCCCTCCCCCTTTTCTTATCCCCTTCCCCTTCTAGGGCAGGATAGATTTCTATACCCCATTGCCTGTATATCTTATTTCCCAGTTGCATTTAAAAACAATTTTTCACATTCATTTTTAAAACTTTGCGTTCCAAATTTTCTCCCTTCCTCCCTCCCCACCCAACGAAGGCAAGCAACTTGACACAGGTTATACATGTGTAGTCGTGCAAAACACTTCCATAGTAGTCATGTTGTGAAAAACTAACTATATTTCCCTTCATCCTATCCCACCCTCCAGTTATTCTATTCTCTTTTTTGACCCTGTCCCTCCTCAGAAGTGTTTGCTTCTGATTACCCCCTCCCCC